TTTTAGGGTGTTCTTATTGAATATATTACTAAGCTTACTATTGGTGGGGAGTGTTTAATGTTTATCAATTAAAACAAACAATGATTGTATACAAAAAATGATTGTATATAAAAACACAAAATTGTATCCACAACACTTCAGTTTATTGATTGTATCCACACACACTTCAGTTTAAAATGATTGTATACACAAAAAATGATTGTATATACACACTTCAGTTTAAAATGATTGTATCCACACACACTTCAGTTTAAAATGATTGTATCCACACACACTTCAGTTTAAAATGATTGTATCCACACACACTTCAGTTTAAAATGATTTAAAACACTTCAGTTTAAAAATGATTGTATCCACACACACTTCACACACTTCAGTTTAAAATGATTGTATCCACACACACTTCAGTTTAAAATGATTGTATATTCAGTTTAAAATGATTGTATCCACACACTTCAGTTTAAAATGATTGTATCCACACACACTTCAGTTTAAAATGATTGTATCCACACACACTTCAGTTTAAAATGATTGTATCCACACACTTCAGTTTAAAATGATTGTATCCACACACTTCAGTTTAAAATGATTGTATCCACACACACTTCAGTTTAAAATGATTGTATCCACACACTTCAGTTTAAAAATCATTTAAAATATCCACACACACTTCAGTTTAAAATGATTGTATCCATTCAGTTTAAAATGATTGTATCCACACACACTTCAGTTTAAAATGATTGTATCCACACACAGTTTAAATGATTGTATCCACACACACTTCAGTTTAAAATGATTGTATCCACACAAAATGATTGTCAGTTTTAAAATGATTGTATCCACACACTTCAGTTTAAAATGATTGTATCCACACACACTTCAGTTTAAAATGATTGTATCCACACACTTCAGTTTAAAATGATTGTATACACACACTTCAGTTTAAAATGATTGTATCCACACACACTTCAGTTTAAAATGATTGTATCACACTTAAAATGATTGTATCCACACAGTTTAAATGATTGTATCCACACTTCAGTTTAAAATGATTGTATCCACACACACAGTTTAAAATGATTCAGTTTAAAATGATTGTATCCACACACACTTCAGTTTAAAATGATTGTATCCACACACACTTCAGTTTAAAATGATTGTATCCACACACACTTCAGTTTAAAATGATTGTATCCACACACACAGTTTAAAATGATAAAACACTGATTGATTGTATCCACACACACTTCAGTTTAAAATGATTTATCCAAAACTGTTTAAAATGATTGTATACACACACTTCAGTTTAAAATGATTGTAAGTTTAAAATGATTGTATCCACACACACTTCAGTTTAAAATGATTGTATCCACACACTTCAGTTTAAAATGATTGTATCCACACACAAGTTTAAAATGATTGTTAAAATGTTTAAATGATTGTCCACACACACTTCAGTTTAAAATGATTGTATAGTTTAAAATGATTGTATCCACAATTTTAAATGATTGCTATATATATATATATATATTTATACACACACACACACTTCAGTTCAAAATGCTAATATCTTGTCCACATATAAGACAGAAAAAATTAATGAAAAACATAATCACAGTCCTGTAATGATTGTATAACACAGTCATCTTTTTAGATCCTGTATAAATATAGAGATTCATCTCTTCTCCCTGATCTATGGGTTAAAATATATATATATAGACTGGTCTCTCTTCAAAAATGTATCTTGTCCTTAATGAAAAACAGACAGTCCTGTTGACAAATTGTCTATGAGAAGAAAAACCCTGAATTCAAAACTAGTTGTCTATGAAGAAAAACCCTGAATTCAAAACTAGTTGAGTGTAAGGGCGAACAACTCAATCCTGTGAAAACTGATTTATTACAGAAACTGTAGTAGCAGCAGTTAGTGTAGTGAAGCTATGGCCTTAGTATCTACTCCATGGTGGAGCCTACAAGGTTAGCATATATAACATACATTAAAACTTTTCTTCTCTGGTTTTGTTCTGCCAGACTGTCTCTACACACCCTTTTCTTCCTGCAACCTTTCTGTTTGTCACAGCGACTTCGCCTGACTCTCTATTTTCTTTCTGATTTTCTACTCTTAAATCTTTGTTTTTCATTTTCCAGACCGCTATTTGGGTGACCGTCGCTTCAGCTATAACCAGTTTCTTTCCTTCAAGTTCCGAATTGGTGAAAACCAGGCAAGAGCCTCCAGGGCTGACATTGTTTTGGAAGGTGGAAATGGCCAAATGGTCTCACTGCCTATCTATGCCCAAAAAAATCCAGTCCCAAAAGCCACTGAGCAAGAATACCGATTCCGTCTGCATGAACACGCAGACTATGAATGGCAGCCACATCTTCTAGCGGAAGATTTCATCACGTTGTTGTCTAATTTGACAGCAATTAAAATCCGTGGAACTTACAACACTGATGGTATGTATGGATGGTTGGAAGGATTTTTTTGAAAAAAGAAAATGTTGAAACTTAATTACTTTTGCTAACTTGAGTTTTCATGGATTCAATTTATATGAAATGTTCTGCACAAATATTTTCTACCTATTTTAACTTATATATATATATATATACTTATTATAAAACCCAGGTCGTGTGTGTCTGTTCGTTTATATATGGGATCGGATTTCCTACATTTTTCAACCGATTTCAACAAAACTTCACAGGACTATGTAAAATTACCCTGTGGTGGTTCTGACAGCGCCAAAAATTGGAAAAACACAATTGTTTTTGCATGAAACCAATTTGATAACATGATTAAGAGTCATTGCGAGAATGAGTCATATCGAGTTATACTTATAAAACCCAGGTTGTGTGTGTGTCTGTGTGTTCGTTTCTACATTTTTTCAACCGATTTCAACAAAACTTCGTTTTTTTTTTTTTTTTTTTTTTTTTTTTTCAGGTAGTGTTTCTTATTGTCTTGCACACTTTTTTCTTTATTTTTACATTCAGAATGCTGTAAAAAATTCCATTTACAAGACAATTGTTTATAATAAAATTCTATTCAATCGGTAGACTCATAAAGATTGAAAACAATGTTTTTTTTTTGAGTTTGGGTTTGACCAATTCATAAAAAAAAAAAAAAATTAAGACGTGTATCTGTCAACCTTAAACAATAATCTTTGTCAATTTCATTTTTCAGTCTTTTTGATGGTTGATACTTGATCTATCTCTTACTGTTACATGATTGCATTTCTTCAGGCGATGGTAAGTAACAGGTGATTAACTGAATTTTTTAAAAAATTTAAAAACAAAGTGTTACCTGTTTTCTGACAGAGGTCAGGGAACATGAGGTCAGAAATAAAAATAGACTTGTGGGTATGTCTTGATTAACCAATTAAATTTTAGATGTGCACTAAATAGAACATTAATCTAAGAGGGTGGAGGTGGGCGAGTTATTTTTTCATGTCATTATAAACCGGAATATAGACAGGTCATCATTGACAGTTGCGGAAAGTATTTAAGTGACAAATGTATCGTGATTGTAGAAAATTACACATTTTCAGCAACTGTCAATGATGGCTGTTCTCTGTTCCAGTTTATCATGGCATGAAAAAAATAACTCACCCACCTTCATCCTTTGAGATTAATTTTCTATTTAGTGCAGATTTAATTGGTTAATTAGGATATATCCACAAATCTGTTTTTAATTCTGACCTTATATTCCCCTTTGCCCCTTTAACTTTCGGCAAAGAGGTAATACTTTGTTTTTAAATTTCCTTAAAAATCATTTAATCACCAGTTACATACCATTGCCTGAAGAAGTACAATCATAGTGTTGAAACATGAAACCTTTTGTGTCTGTCTGTGTGTTTGAAACCTCTCTAATTTGGGCAACACTGGCTCTATATAGACATATTATACCTTTTTGGAATCAGGATGATCCCACCATTGAAAAATCTGCCCTTCATTTGGTGCTTGAACATCCAGCATTGGAATTTTTGTTCAGATGAGGAGGGAATAGTTAAAAATTCAAATTTTAAAGTAACTGAAAAAAAAATTAGTGATTTTAAAAGTTTTTAATTTATATTAACACAAAAACTTTGTGAATTAAAGCTTTTGTTTTAAATTAAATTTAAAATATCTCCAAAACTTTGTTTTAACTATGACGTCAAGTGGAACAATAAACCTTCTTTTACCATCTTTAAATACAAATTAAAATGTGTAATTAATAATAAAATTGATAATATCGCTACTTCATTGTTTTGTATCATGATCTGCTTTTAAAAGAAACTTATCGGGTTGATGGATGGTCTGATATTTCTGAATTTAAAGCTTGCTTGCTTTTTTTGTTTATTTTCATTCTGTTCATTTGTTTTTCAGGAACTGGGTTCCTTGATGATGTGAAAATGGGGACAGCTTGGTTAGGTTTCAATGGGGGTAAGGTTGCCACATGGGTGGAGCAGTGCAACTGTCCAACTGCCTATCTGGGTGAATATTGCCAGTCTTGTTCCCCAGGTTACAGAAGAGATCCACCCAATGGAGGTCCATTTGCCCGTTGTGTACCCTGTGAATGTAATGGGCACTCGGATGACTGTGATGTCAATACAGGTAAGCAGAACAATGCCTAAATTTTCATCAAAAAAATGATCAATGATCAGACTTTGCTTGAATAAAATGAAAAAAATCAAATGCATTCGAATTTTGTCTATTCATCTCAATATAAAGCATCCTGCTCTCATAGATACATATGTAATTTTCTGTCAAGGATGACAATGAGTGAAACAGCTGTTTAAGGAAAATCATCATTTATATGCCTTTTTCGTCAGATCATTAGTAAGTGTGGCTCTCCACGACTTCCTGTCTTTTGTCTCTCTCTCTCTCTCTAGATTCCCTTCTTGCCAATATTATGCCATCTATTCAGATCTTTATGATTATTACTACTATCATAGATACATATTTAATTATCAAGGTTGACAATGAGTGTAACAGCTTTTTTAAAGTTGTTAGATTATTTTGTATATACATATGAAAGAACTATCAGAGTTGGCAATGGGATATAAGCTGCTGTTTAAGGAAAAATCGTCATTTATGTTCTGTTTCTTTCAGGTCTTTAGAGATCATAACTCTCCACAACTTCCCGGTTTTCTCAATAGATATCCTCCTAGTAGTTGCTGTCATCCTTTCATACAAACTCATTAGATGAGTTTCTTTTTATGATTTATCGTAGATACACACTAAATTATCAAGGTTAACAGTGGATGTAACAGCTTTTTAAGGTTGTTACTTCTCTCATAGATATGTGAATAATTATATAGCAATTAGTGTAACAGCAATTTAATGTTGTTGCTGCCCTCATAGTTACGTACATAATTATCAAGGTTGACAATGTGTGTAACAGATATTTGTTTGTTATTGTTCATAGAGATATGGGCGTAGTTATCTATCAAGGCTGTCAATAGGTACAACTGCAATTAAGATAGTTATGTATATAATTATGAAGGTTGACAATGGATGTAACAGCTTTTTGAGAATGTTATTGCACGCCTTTATAAGTACATAATTACAGACTGTACAAATCATCTGGTAGTTTCCATTCTTCTATATGGATGTGAAATGTGGACACTGTTGGCAGATATGGAGAGAAGGATAAAAGCATCTGAGAACAAATGCATGAGAAAACTCCTTGGCATTTTCTATTAGGAAGAAAAAACCAATGAGTTTGTGCAGAAAAGGGTTGAAAGTTTTGTGGGGCACTAGGAACCTCTTCTTGCCACTGTTAAATGGAGAAAGATGGCATGGTTTGAACTCATTACAAGGCACGACAGCCTGTGAAAGGCCATTATGTAAGGCATCATTGAAGGTGGACATAGGAGAGTCACAACCCAAAAAACTTGTTGGACAATGGACAGGTATGACTGTACTAGGATTACTGATGGCTGCTGTTGATAAGCTGTTGTGGAAAAGAGTTAGTGTGGCTTCCACATTTGAATCTGCCCTACGATTACAAAGTCAAGTGGATTATGTTGATGATATCTATCTATCTATCATTACAAGGCACTACAGCCTGTGCAAGACCATCATGCAAGGTACCATTGAAGGTGGACGTAGGAGAGGTCGACAATGTTAAACTGGTTGGACAATGTCAAACAATGGACAAGTATGATTGTACCAGAATTGCTGATGGCTGCCGTTGATAGACCGTTGTGGAAAAGAATTAGTGTGGCTTCTGAATTCAGATTCGCCCTACAATTATAAAAGTCAAGGTTGACAATGGGTGTAAGAACTAGTTATATTTGTTCCTGCTCATATAGGAAGCTGTGGACAGCCATGATCACTGACATCCTGAAGAGACTCAGCCCATAAAAAGGTATCCAACAGCTATTTCTTTTCGAGTATTTATGGCAAATAGCTGGCAAAACATGGACTTGGAGAGACAGGTGAGAGCGAGAACTACAATGGATAGGAAGTTGTAGAGAGCCATGTCCTGAAGGGAATGAAGCCCATTACATGAACATATGCAACACCTAATTCTTTTTGTGTATTTATGCCAAACAGAAAGAAGAGAAGGGACTGGAAAGCATAGTAAGGAGACAAACATTGTATTCATTTAGAAAGGATAGGAAATTATGGAGAGCCATGAATTGTATTGAAACACTAAAAAAAAAAAATATCTAACACTCGTTTCTTTTCATGAAAAACTGATAGTGAGAATTGGAGAGATTGTAAAGGAACAAATATTACTTAGAGCTGCAAAGAATAGGAAGCTGTGGAGAGCCATGATACAAAAGTTGTTAAAGGTAAGATTTTTAAACCATGTATCTTTTGACTTTTTTGTCCAACCTTTGACTAAGTTTTATTCCCTATTTCTCTTTTCCACAGGCCGCTGTATCTGTAAACACAACACAATCGGCCGTAACTGTGAAAGGTGCCTTGAGGGTTATTATGGAGATGCCAGACAGGGGACAACTGATGATTGCAAACAATGTCCGTGTCCAAACAATGGCACATGTCAGCAATTTTCCAACAAAGAAGTTGTTTGCACTAACTGTCCAGATGGTTATGGAGGTAAGAAAATTTTTTCTTACTGTTCTAGGTCACACTTGGGCAAGGTGCATCACTTGATAAAATTTCAGTGACAAACTTCAAATCCAGACTGCACAATGAGAAAAAAATCTTGGTAAATTTGCAGATTAATTCCTGGGGTCTTGTGCAGAAGCTTACTTAGTTAACGGTCTTTTTACTGATCTTCCTATCTTCTCACTTGTCTCAATTATGGTGCAAAACCAAAAGAAGTCTTTTTACTAATCTTCCTATATTCTTACTTGTCTCAATTACTGTGCAAAACCAAATGAAGTCTTTAGACATTTTTTGAAAGTGAAGCTTTTATTGAATTCTCTTTTTAATATTTAAGTTATTTAGAAAAGCAATGACAAGTGTTAATTGGGTATTGAACTCACACTCTTTGGGTCCTGTCACTGGATCTAACTAACACCTTTATCCACATGGCACAGTGTAATAAATATGGTGACAAAGATGAGGGCAATAGTCTGAATAATGTAAATAGTGTACATAATATCTCATCTCTGAAATATAGATAGATACTGAAAGGCTGAAATGTTGTGATAAATATGGCAACAAAGATGAGGACAATAGTCCGAATAATGTAAATAATGTACATAATACCTCATCTCAGAAATATAGACAGATACTGAAGGGCCAAAACATTGTAGTAAATATGGCAACAAAGATGAGGACAATAGTCCAAATAATGTAGATGGTGTACATGATACCTCATCTCTGAAATATAGATAGATACTGAAGGGCCAAAATGTTGTGATAAATATGGCAATAAAAATGAGAACAATAGTCCGAATAATGTAAATAGTGTACATAATACATCATCTCAAAAATATACACAGATACTGAAGTGTCGAAACGTTGTGACAAAGATGAGGACAATACTCTGAATAATGTAAATAGTGTACATAATAACCTCATCTCTGAAATATAGACAGATAATGAGTATATTGTTGAAAATTTCTTTCTTTCCATAATATTAGCTATGTTATAATGCTTATTACCTAAACAATGATAATAGAGAATAAATTTCTTTTTTTAAACATTAAAGAATATTTAATCACATCTCCCTAATAAATGTCATGATCTGTTAATATTTTTGTTGTCAATTCCTAAGAACAAAGAAAATACACTTTCATATGTTTAGGTTTTATTCCAGTTCTAATCATCACTTTCTAAAATAACAAGCATTGCCAAAGAGTGAAGGTAGATGAAAAAAAATCATGGGTCATATTGTGGGCCCATGCGTCCATGTTTGCTGTTTTAAGGTATGCTATATTTATAGATTAGTCTGTTCAATATGGAAAGTATATATATATATATATATATATATATATATATATATAAAATCAATTTCATTGAATATGACAGACAAGGTGCTATTATTTAGTTTTTTTTATACAATTTCTCATGCAATCTAATAATTTTTTCTTTTCAGATTATAAATTTATATAAAAACTGTCCGAATGTTCTTTTTATCTGAGCGCTTTCGGCTATACATTTAGCCATTTTCAAGGATTAAATATTTTAACTGTTAAATAAGAAATAGTTTGTTGTATATAAGTTTTATAAAATGTCTTCATTTTTCAAAATGGTCAAGATATTGTGTCCATGTTCATAGTTAATATTATTAAGTGTTGTTTTTTTTGTTTTTAATAGTAAGGCTTCCATTACTTTTAGCCTTTTTTTGCATATAGATGATGCTATTATATTAGTGTTGTCAACATTTGACATGCAGACTAACTCTACACCTTTCTGGCCATAGCTCAATTCGATCTCATTTAAATATTCATGGAGACCTACCAGACATTATTCGTAACAGGATCTGTTTATATTTCTGAAATGAATTATTGCAACTATTTACACTATTTATATTGTTTAGACTGTTGTCCTCAACTTTGTTGTCATATTCATGGCATTTCATCTATTGCACATTTCAGTTGTTGTATGCTTTGGCCTTCTTCAGGATCTATCTATATTTCTGAGATGAGGTGTTGTAATTATTTACTTTATTTGAACTTTTGCCCTCATCTTTGTCATATTCACAACATAAATGATTCGGTTTGAAATTATCTCTCTCCATCGTCCATTGTGGTGTTCATTTGTGGGACAAGAAATTTAAAGTCAACATGAACTTAATTTCCTTTTTTCGAGACTTAGTACAACAGGGAATACAGGGAATAAGGAAAAGGTCTTGTAGAATAACAATAATAAACAGCACTTTTGTCACTAAGGTCCCAGCTATTTATCAGTAGGTCAGCCTGTTATGTCATTTGCTATTCCATTCAAGATGATCTGGTCCTTGATGTATATATCAGACAGGTCATGTTCACATTAGGGGCAAAATTTAAATTACAATCAACAAATTTTTCTCTTATATTGTCTGTTACCTTCAAGGTAACTTTGTATTGGCTCATCCATCCTGAGACATGGAAAAAACATCATTTTAGTTGAAAATGGCTAGATGTAACTCAAAATTTTTGCCATGTAAAACTTACTCCTTACACAACTTTGATCTTGAAATATTTAATGCAATCTCAATCATTATCATCTGTCTTCTTGATTCTCATTCAATACATTTTTTCTCTCCTTAATAGTGTTTTTTTTTTTTTTTATCATACTAGATATTTTTTGAACTGTGTTTTTTATTCTTGACAGTATTTAGTACTGTTTAAATATCACTAATATTTTCTATCGAAATTTACAAAATATGTTTTGTTCACTCTGTATTATTTATTTTATTAGGACTTATCCTCATTTGCATTGCCATATTCATAAATTTTCGTTTTGAAATACATTCTGGCCTCTTCAGGTGACTGGAATTTGAAACCGAACCAACCTACATTATTTTTTCTATGTCAATTAAGATGAGGATAAAGTCCGAATAATGTAAATAATGATAAAAATTTTTAAAAAAATCTCAGGGATATAGACAGATATGTTTCATTCAATTTCACAAACCAATTGATTAAATTTGAATAAGCTGATTTGTTTGGAAAAATACTTTGACAACAACCCTACCTCGCGGATTAATTTCTTTGACTTAATTTTTTAGGACTTCATGGTAAACAATATTATCTAAAAAAATTTTTTTTCCTTTTTAACAGTGAATAAATTCTTAAGATTTCTTACTCTTGAGCATACAACATACAACTGGCCATCATAAATACTTCTTTCTGCAGCCAACTTCTTGGAAGCATTGGGCATTGTGACTTGTTTGTAGTTCTCGCAAATGCAGGGTGAAATGGAAACTGGATTCTTGTATATAAAAACTTAGATACGTAAAAAAATTAGATTAGTATTTAGTATTGTTGAAGCTGTCTCTGATATTTTCTATCAAGATTTACAAAATACATTTTGCTCACTTTTTCCTATTTTATTTATTTGGATAAATTCTCATTTAAATCATTTATATTCATTTTCTTTTTTTCTCGTTTTATAATTGTATTGCCTTCTTCAGATGATTGGAATCTATTTCGTCCACCAGAGTAGATTGTTCTAGTTCCATGTGTTATGCCTCTTCCACGTCTCCCTTTAACTCAACTCATGGTCCAGTGGATAAAAGCGTTGGTTTTGGTGAATGAAAACTTGAGAGTTGAATTACTAAAGAGAATTAACAGAAAACTGAGATATCCAGAAAAGACATGGCATGTGGAACTAGAGCAATCCACCCCAGTGGATGAAATAAAGGATTCAGTCCAAAATTCCAACATACATCACCTGAAGAAGGCTGGAGTGTACAATAGCTAAAACGTTGTGAATATGACAATGAAGACAACAATCCAAATAGTGTAAATAGTTACGATACCTCATCTTGGAAATATCAACAGATTCTGAAGAAGGCTTGAATGTGACAATAAAGATGAGGACAACAATCCAAATAATGTAAATAGTGTAAATAGTTACGATAGCTTATCTCAGAAATATCAACAGATGTGATAGAATTCCAACTGTCGTCAAAATATGCAACAATGACCTCTGACTCCTGATAATAAAACTGCATTTGCTTCAATCTTGTCTTTTTTCATGGCAGGTGACCTTTGTAATATCTGCTTGGATGGTTACTACGGTGATCCAGCTGGACGTCATGGACCAAAGACACCATGTCAAAGATGCTCCTGCAATGATAACATCGATCTGAACAGTGTCGGAAACTGCAATACGTGAGGGATTTTTGGTTGTTTGTTTCAGAATTGATTTTGATTTTTAATTTAAAAAAAAAAATTTAAAAAAATCTGCTTAAGATCATTAAAAAATTTTTGTTTAAAAAAAAAAAAAAAATAAATATTTTTATTGGGTTGATGGTAAATTAATCGCCATTTTATGTTTTTAATTTTGCACATGCATGTTGTTTGTTTTTGATTTTATCAACTGCACTGTATAGTAGGGTCAGTTGGGCACTGTCCGGGAGAAAAAGCGCACCACGATGAAATTCAGTCCTTCAGAAATTTGGAGACAACATGCTGTACTACTTGGCACTTGTACTGTAAGCTTCAATCTGAACATTTCAGAGTGTTTGGTCATCAATCTAAGGTCAGTGCAGAGGATTTGGAAAGAGATGGATTAGTCTAAAATATGGCAGCTCAGAAAACTCACTCTCATCATTCTGATAAGAAATAAGCTCCATTCATCTTCCCTCAGAGTCAACATAGAGGCCTACATCAAATACCTTGAGAAAGTAGTGCTGCTCTGGGTCAAGAGGGTGGCTGCTGAAAGATCCTATATCTGGCAACAGGACTCTGCACCATGCCAGACAAGCAGAACCCACTCTTGGCTCTCAGAATTTCTGTGACCACATCACTCATTTTATCTGGCCACCTAACTTCCCAGACTGCAACCCCCTTGATTATTATGTGTGGGTTGCAGTTGAGCAAGAGACCAACAAAACTCCTTGTAACATCAAAGATGAACTGAAGGCAAGGATTATGGCAGCATTTACCAATTTAAACATGGAAACCATCCCGAAGTGTTGCAGGATATTCCAAAGTTGTCTGGAGGCCATGGTTGATTTTTTTTTTTTTTGTTTGCTTGTTTTGTTTTATGGCATAACAACTTCCAATGGGTCATTTAATGCTGACAACTTTTTTTTCCTGGTAATATTTTGTTTTGTCAAAAATCTATTTCTGGTAATATTTTTTTCCTCAAAAAATGTATAGCTGGTAATATTATTTTAAAAAAATGTATAGCTGGTCATAGTTTTTTTTTTTAACAGGGGTATTTATCCACCCTGACTTTGGGGTGGACCTGGGAAAATCAGCAGTTAAGAGGTGGTTCCACATCCTCAAAAAACCTCCTGATCAGAGGCCATTGAATATTATACAAAAGTTTCATTTCTTTGCCCAGGAAAGATGTAGTTTGTCATACCCAGGATGGGCCACAGTTGAAGTCAATGGGGTTTTTTTTTTTTTTTTGTGTCATTTTGGTAAATATGTTAGAATTACATGTCAGTGTTATGTTCATTTTTGTGTAATTTAGATGACAATTTATCCATCACTCTATGTATAAAACTTTTTGTTATTACCTACTTTGGATGAGTGATTCATATATATTTTTTTTAACCCTTTTTGGGTTGTTTGAAGGCATAACACATTTTCTAGATTTTAACAGATCCCCCATATGACATTTGATATGTATGTAGTCAATATTGTACCTTAAATGATATTATTTAGTTTTGTTCTCAGGGTTTTTATAAACTGGAAGATAAAAAAATTGATTTCTAGGTTTCATTTTGGCAATCTATTTGGGAAAGAAAATAAGAAAGGGATCAGGAAACACTTATCTTAAATACTTTATTTTTTCTGCTTTAATTAGTCCTATATAAGTTGAGTCCCAGTTTTGAGTGATAGAGCTGTCTGTCCAACCAGTGACATTAGTAATGCTCACTCGACTGAAGAAGAGTTGAAGAGACCTATGAGCCACCTATGTAGTACCAAAAAGAATACTGGGTCCCACCTGATGGGTGGTGGAACCTCATTGAAATAAACCCCAAATCATTCAAAACCAGATTTGACCATCCTGGGTATGATGATAAACTACATCTGCGTCCTGAGTAAGATGATAAACTAACTGTATATATTTCTGAGATGAGGTATTATGTACATTATTTACATTATTTGGACTATTGTCCGCATCTTTGTTGCCATATTTATCACAACAGTTTATTTCAGTATCTGTCTATATTTCTGAGATGATGTATTATGTAAACTATTTACATTATTCAGATGACTTTTGTCCTCATCTTTGTTGAATCTTTATATACAATTGTATTTTTGTTGGCTAAACAATCATGTATTTTTTTTTAATTTTAATGTTGAACTGAACCCTTTTCATTAAAATAATTAATAAATTAAATATATTTTCTTTTTCAATGTGCCATGTTAATGGAAAATTTTAAAAATTTAATGTTAATTTGATCTCAACTTATCCACTATCTTGGGGAAATGAAAATGAACATTTTCATTTTTTGAGTTCAATTTATCTTTAACAAACAAATCTTTTAGAGGTTTCTTAACAGGTTATAAGTGATAACTGACATCCATTGTAGACATGGCACGGGACACAGTCCACCCCAGAAGTGAAATAATGGATTTCATTCAACATTCCAACCACCTTAAGAAATCCAAAGTGACAACAATACAATAACATTATGATAAATATCTAAAAATCAATTCTTAGTCTGAATAATGTAAATAGTGTTTATTTTTAACTACATCCGACAGCAAGGACTCTGATCAGGAGGTTTTGAGGACCATGGAACCCCCACTTAATTGCTGGTGTTACCAGGTCCACCGGTAGGGTAGCACCTGTTAGGGTCTCGGCTATGGGCAAGTAGTTAACCACCAAACAGGGGTCAAAACACTATGAAAGTGTAAAAATAGGTTTTAATACCAGAAATAGTTTTTTGTTAAATATTATTACTGGCAATGAATTTTTGAAGGAAAAAAAAAATTACATGCAATACATTTTTGAAAAAAATATTACCTGCAATAAAAATCTTGTCGACATTAAATAACCCATTGAGGTTGAAATGCTGTAAACGAAACCAAACTATACATGCGCAAAAGGCAAGTGGGCCTTAAATCAGTCAGTAATACCTGGTTTTATTTTAATGGCTGGAAGATAGTCTTTGAAGTTTAGTGTTCAAAGCGGCAACCCACTTGAGAAAATAATAAATGAAAAAGGGGATCAAGTGGCATTTTGTTGGAAACCAGATGATTCTGTTTGTAGCCTTATATCAGTAGAATTAGTGCAGAGAGAGGAGCCCATTGTCCAACCAGTCACTCCACATCTGTAGTTGTTGCTCAGCTGAAGTAAGAAGAGCGGAAGGGACCTATGTGTCACCCACCTCTTACCAGAGAGAATACAATGTTTGACCTGGTGGGGGTAGGGTTGACCTCATCAAAATAAACATAAAAAATATTGAGAACCAGATTTATATCTTCATTTTTTGATTTTGATTTCATCTTCCGATTCTTGTGAACATATGACAACACTTTTCCAGCCTTTGTATTGCATACACTATGAACAAAATTCAAGACACAATGTGGTGATAGATCTGTCCGGGTCGGTGAAAGACAGTTCCTCCTGACGCCAGACAATTGTTTTCGTTTTTGATGAGTGAATATTGCATTAACAATTTTTTGGTGATAACTGATTTTTTCCAGAGGCAAACCTACTGTTCAATCCATAATAAGAGAGAATTTGAAAGAAATTTAAGCTATAATAAAAATGTGTGTGCAGATCTAGGGTGTGGCAAAAATACCTCTCGCATAATGGTAAAACATTTGTGGCAGTGCTGTCTAAATCTAGTTAATGTATTACTATTATGTGGAGGGGGGAAGGTCATTTCTGCAACACCATATATATGCATTGAAATATAGCAGTACTGAAGATTTCTATCATTCAAGCTGGACTGTTTTCAAATGAAAAATCATTTTCTTGCAGAATAACTGGTGAATGTTTGAATTGTCGCTATAATACAGTCGGCTTTTTCTGTGAAAAATGTCTTCCCAACTATTATGGTGATGCACTGGCACTTCCAAAAGGACAGTGTAAACGTAAGTTAGATTTCTTTCTATTTGTAATCGTCATATTCTTCATTTTCACTCTGTAGTTTTTTGGTCCTGTCCTGAATTATTTGATATATTTTTTGTGATATGTAGATTAGACTCCCAAAGGAATGGAGACCTCACCATCCCCAGTTCCAGTAGGATAGGTGCTTGTCTTGGCTAAAGTAAAGCCAAATGATACTCAGGCAAAAGAGCTACAAATGCCAAGAGGGGGTGGAGGGCCATGATCGCCTCCATCCTGAAAGGACATTGCACATAAAAGATTAGAGGAAGTTAATTTTGAAACTATCGTATTGATCTCAATATGAAACTTGGGGGTTTCACATGATAACTAACAACACAAAGATTGGTCACTTGCATGTTGGTATTTTATAAATTCCAACAGAAAGCAGTGCTAACTGCTGGGTAATAGGTTCAAGTGGATTGTGCACATAATTTTAAAGTTGAGGTTTCCCATGATAAATAATGTTGCCAAAATATTTTTTTCCACATCATTACTGTTTTTTGAGTAGACAAGTTTAAAGATTAAGTTTAGGTTCAAAATTGTGGCATTGGAATTTCTTTCCAGTGATCAGTGAAAACCTTATAATTTATTGAAACTACAAATTGTAGTATTATTAAATCATTGTGCCATTAAATAAGACTTTCATTTACTTCAAATGGAAATTATACTGAACAATTTAGCTATACTATGATGTAACATGTTATACAGTAGTTTTAGTGTCACTGTCCATAAACAATGCAAATTAAAAAGATTTTGTCTTACAATTTGATCCAGAAGAATTCTTGTGTTATATACACTTTTAGCTATTTTTGTTTTTTCTTACGTCGCAAACTATAGGGTTGTAGGGGCACCATGCGTACTGCAGTTGCAGTAGAAGTGGTGTTTCTTGGAGAAGATAGCCTGATGGAACTCAAACCTCTCCAGGCTGGTTTTGAATTGGAGCATTGGAATTTCCTTCTAGTGATTAATGAAAGTTTTAAAGATTACTAAATCATTTTGCCATCAAATAAGACCTTCATTTACTTCAAATTATACAGAACAATATTTTTAGTGTGATTTTCAATAAACAATGCAAATTTAAAATATTCTGTCTTATAATTTGTACCCAGTAGTATTATGGTGTTATATACACTTTTTTCTATTTTCTGTTTTTATTCATTATGATCTAAGAAAGGATCTAACAAATTTTATTCAATGAGTAAATAAATCTTTTACATTAGAGTCTTTGAGGAGACTGGAACCACCTGTTAATCGCTGTTGTTCCTAGGCCAAAGATAACCTGAGGTTGTAGCACCTGTTAGGCTCTAGCTATGGGCAAATAGTGAACAGGTTCAAAATTTGAACATTGAAATTTCATTCCGGCAACCAGTGAAAGCCTTGAAGTACAGCCTTATAAAATTTATAATTTTTTTGAAGCTTTACAAATTGTATATAGACAAAATGCATAGCACAAGTACATTATTACTAAATCATTGTGCCATCAAATAAGACCTTCATTTACTTCAAAGGGACGTTATACTGAACAATTTAACTAGATTATAATGTAATATGTTATACAGTGCAATACTTTTAGTGTGATTTTCAATAAACAATGCAATTTTAAAACATTCTGTCTTATAATTTGTACCCAGCAATACTATTGTGTTACATACTGCTATTTTTTTGTTTTTATTAATTATGATTTAACAAATCTTATTCAATGAATAGCCGTTTTTTTCTTTACACGGTTTTTACTGGAAAAGGCAATAGCAGCTCCTGGATTTGAGAAACCAATTTTCCTGAAAAATTGTTTTAAAAGATCCTGATATGCAAACCGCTATCAACCTGCTGGTAAGCCACCAATGACAACGCCAGCGGTCCTCAGGTGGCAGCTAGCGATCCGCCAGTGGTAGCATTGCTGAGACGAACACGCTAGCCAGCGGTCTGATAGCAGACCAACAGTAGTAAATAGCTAGTGACAATGCCACCCAGTGACAGATGGGTAGCTTGCGTAGGTATTTTATAGATTCCAACAGAAAGCAGTTACAAAATATTTCTTCGACATCATTACTGTTTTTTGAGTAGATGAGTTTAAAGATTAAGTTCAAAATCGTGTCATTGGAATTTCTTTCCGGTGATCAGTGAGGGTTTGAGCATGCTGGCCTTGTTCATACTTTTGATTACGCTAGATAACACGCTCACTCCCAGAAATTGTAACTGAATATAGTTGCAGTATAAACCACCTCTGTGGGTGTTGAACAAACACAAATGTGCCTGAGCAGATGTCTGCAATGGGGATTAACTAGTCACCTTAGTAGACAGGCATCCTCAGATTCAAGTGGCTGTGCCATAAGAAGAGAGATCAGTGAAAGCATTGTAGACTGGAGAGAAATTATGGGTTCTTGTCTGTAAGATGATTAGTCCCAAATTTCTATGAGATGCTGACCTGTGCAGAAAAGGACAAGTGTTGTGAATGCTAGACAGACAAACAAGAATGTCAAACATTAAACCATATGCCAGAATAGGGACAGTCAATTTTGGAAGCGTGGTATTGCCCTCAATTTGAAAGTTGGGGTTTGACATGATAAATAATGACACAAAATGTTTTTTTCCAAATTGTTACCATTTTTTGAGGAGACGAGTTTAAAAATTAAGTTTAGGTTCAAAATTGTAGCATTAGCATTTCATTTTGATGATTGCTGAAAGCCTTATAGCACAGACTTATAAAATTTATAATTTTCTGAAGTTTTACAAATTTTATATGGACAAGATGTATTGAACAAGCACATTATTACTAAATGATTGTGCCATCAAATAAGACCTTCACTCACTTCAAAGGGAAATTATACTGAACAATTTAGCTATATTATGATGTTATATGTTATACAGTGTTGTAGTTCTAGTGTAGTTTTCAATAAACAATACAAATTTAAAACATTTTGTCTTCTAATTTGTGCCCAGTAGTATTATGCTGTTATATACACTTTAACAATTTTTGGTTTTTATTTATTATAATCTAACAAAGGATCTAACTAATATTAAACATTGAGTAGCATTTTTTGTAATCTTTTACAATTTTTTTTATAGTTTTTACTTATAGAATAGAGTAAAAAAAATGCATATTTTGCTTGTGGTGATTCATAATTAGATCCATTAAATGGAAAATATATTAAAACCAGAATTCTAATGCAAAAGATATCAACTTTAGATTTATTCTTAAAATAGTAATGTTTTGAAATCAGTTTGTAAGAAAAGCCCTGCAGAAATTATATATGGACAAGATGTATGGCACAAGCACATTATTACTAAATCATTGTTCCATCAAATAAGGCTTTCATTTACTTCAAAGGGACGTTATACTGAACAATTCAGTTATATGTAATATGTTATACAGTGATGTAGTTTTACTGTGATTTACAATAAACAATTCAAATTCAAAACATTTTGTCTTATAATTTGTGTTCAACAGTATTATGGTGTTATATACACTTTTATCTATTTTTTTGATTTTGTTAATTATGATCTAACAAAACGTATTCACTGAGTAGCCATTTTGTAATCTTTTGCAATATTTTTTAAACAGGTTTTACTTACCGAATACAGTAAAAAAAATTGCATATTTTGCTTGTGGTGATTCGTAATTAGAATTCTGGTTTGAATATATTTTCCATGCAATCTATCTAATACAAAAAATGCCAACTTTATTTGAATCTACTCTTGAAGTCAGTCTGTAAGGAAAAACCTGTGAAGATTATGTATTTCTGTACATTTTTTTCAGATGATCTTTAAAACTTAAGTCTCAAAAATTGGTGAATGCTATGAATCTAATTTTTGGTTTCATTACTTGGTCCATGAAACTTCAGCTTTCACAAAGTGCAATGTTGGTTTTCAAAAAAAAAAAAGTGAAAGATCAATCTGCCCTAATGTAGATTTGGTTGTGAATTTTTGCCACACTCAACAAATTTCTTAGCTGAAGTTTATCAAGAATACTTAAACTAACAGGTGAGCCACCAAGGAATTGTGTACTTTCTGCTGTAGTTCAAACAAGACCTCTGTCAGTGTTATAATAATCCCTGAATGGAATAGCTGAAAGGAAACTGAATAACAAACATGTTTTGTTCTCAGACTTTTATGCAGTGAAGTCGTACACAAATTATGTACACATATTTACACTTGTCCCACACAGAGAAAATATTACACATATATGCAACAACAAGCAGTGTGAAAAGAGAATGGAAAAAGTCCTACATATAATACTTCTCAATAGGAACTGGACCTGCCGGAGATTCTTCTGTTTTTCTGGAGAGGCCATATTTAGTATTCCAGATTTGAGTGGGTTGTGGGAGGCAGATTTAGCTACAAATGAATTTTACTCTATGGTACCTAAACTTTATGAATTTAAGTGCAGTACTAGATTGGCAGCTAGGTCTCACCATTTTACAGTCGAAATGGCTAGATGTAACCGTAAGTTCAATGCTAACAGTTTCTTCTCTCACACTTCTTGCTTGTGGATCTCTCATCCGGCTTTTTGCTTCCCAGTCAAGTTTGATCTTCAAAAATTTAAATGCAATGTCAATCATTATCTTCTGTCTTCTTAATTCCTGTTCTTTTATTGTTCTCTCTCATTAATAGTGTTTCCTTTTCTCCTATTCTCAATTTGATCTTTAAAAGTTGAAATTTTTTTTTTTTTTTTTTTTTTTTTTTTTTAAGCGTTTCACCCCAAGCAAGGTGGGAAAATAGTAGCATATAGCAAAATAAAATAGAATTTGGATAGACAGAGCAAAGAAGAGGACAGAGGAAAAATTTAAGAAAGGATAGTGGATAGATCAAGGCATCTGAGATGTGGATTGACATTACATTTGAATAGTTGGAGATTATAGCTATCAGGGAAATAGGAAAAAGGGGAGGGAGTTCCACAGGCGAGAAGTGCAAGACAAGCAATATTAATCGTTATCTTATTTCCTGTTCTTTTATTGTCCTCTCTCCTCAACAGCTTTTTGGTTTTCTCTCATACCCAGGAACTTGTTGAATCTTGGTGGCTTTATTGCCTTGTTTGGAGTGAAATGATAAATATATTACTGGGATCTATTTTCATTGAAAAAAATTTTTTTTTTTTTTATAGCCTGCAATTGTTATGAAAAGGGCACTCTTCCAACTGGGACCATATTTTCCTGTGACCCCAACAATGGACAATGTCCATGCCAGAATGCTGTGGAAGGACTCAAATGTGACAAATGCCAACCTGGCTATTGGAATTTGGATAGTGGCAGTGGTGAGTTATATTTATATTTTTTTTCAAAATTTTACAAGTATTTTATAAATATTTTCTATTGTCTTTAAAAATCCCTCTGAAAAGAGGTGCATGTATCTTGTTTGTTTGATCAATATGACCATTATAGAGAAGTCAATGTGTCATTGGAGATGCACATAATTCAGTGAGAATCTACTTAGAAATCCTTGTTGGTGATTATCTGACCATTATAGCAGTCATTGCATAACAAAACATTCAGAATTTGAACCTTGGAGATGGAATTAAAGACTATAAAAATCTATTTAAAAATCTCTACATGACCATTATAGAAGTGTCAATGTGTCATGAAAGCATATTTAAAATCAAGACTTGGGGGAAATGTGAAAAGAGATTGAAAATCTACTTTAAAATCCTTGCTTGGCACTACATGACCATTATATAGAGGTCAATGTGTCATAAAAGCACATTTAATATCAAGACTTGAGATATGTGATAATGAATTGAAAATATACTTTAAAATCCTTGCTAGCAACTACATGACCATTATATAGGTGTCAATTTGCCATGAAAGCACATTTATAATCAGGGAGATGTGAAAGAAGACTGAAAATCTACATGACCATTATATAGGAGTCAATGTGTCATAAAACCACAATGTCCTGGGTAAGACAATAAACAACACCCAACAAACAGGCGTCTGATTAGGAGGTTTTGAGGAATGTAGAACCACCTCTTAACTGCTGGTTTTTGCAGATCCACCTTGACCTATGGTGGTAGAACCTGTTAGGGTTCCAACTATGGGCAAATAGTTGCATTTTTTAAAGAAAAAATTAATACCAGCAATATCAGCACTATATTTTTGAATCAAAAAACTATTTTTATACAAAAAAAACAAAATTGCCATTACATAAAAAATTTTGGCATTAAATAAATTGTGGTGTTGATATTCTGTTAAACAAAATAAACCAAAGCTTAATTTAAATTTCATTGTTGGCATTTCTTTTTTAAACCTATTAAAAAAATTTGATATGCATTAAATAAACCCAAAAGGTTATAAACCAAACCAAAACTGATTGCAAACTGATTTCTTACAAAGTATACATATTCTATTCATATAAACCTATCCCAAAAATCTTGTCGGCATTAAATAACCCATTGAGGTATTGATATGCTGTAAAACAAAATAAACCAAAGCTGATCTACAAACTGATTTCTTACAAAGAATACATATTCTATTCATACAAAAAATCTTGAAATTAAATAACCCATTGAGGTGTTGATATGCTTTAAAATAAACCAGGCCAATAAAACCACATTCATAACCCTGCAGATGTAATTCATCCTTAAAAAACAGGCCCCATCCATCAGTTGATCTTCCACTGATATGACATCATTCATGACCTTGAGGCTAAATGATTAGTTAACAACTCCAGGATTAATGACGTTACTATTTACTAGGATGAAAAGGGTTGATAAGCCCTAGAAAATGAATGGATCAATCAATGAAATAGTGATTAGCTTCACAGGTGTCTTTTAGATTTATTTACATTCTCTGGAATAGAAATGGATAGAAACTACCGTGGCTACAAAATGAGGTTTCAGTTTATATATGGGTTGTAATATAGAATTGATCCCTCACTTTATAACCATATTATAATTTCTTGTATTAACGAATTCTATTATTAAATTCTGATTAGGCATGACTCCACCTCTTCTCCCCCCCAGCTATGGGTTAATTATTAAGACTTGTATCACTCAAACATTATCTCTAAAAAAAATTTATGATCTAAAAATATTTTCTGGCTTTGAATAACCTGCAAAGGTTTGATAAGTTGTAGAAAACGAATCAATCAGTCAATGAAATACTGATTATCTGCACAGGCCTGTCTTTTAGATTTATTTACATTCTCTGGAATATAAATGTATAAAAACTAATGTGGCCACAAAGTTAGGGTTCAACTTATATATTGATTGTAATATAGAATTGATCCCCCATTTTATAACCACATCATAATATCTTGTATTATTGAATTCTATTATTCTGATTAGATATGAATCCACTTCTTCTCCCCTCCAGCTATGGGTTAATTATTAAGACTTGTATCACTCAAACATTAAAAAATAAAACAAAAAAAATTCTTACAATCTAAATATATTTTCTGGCTTTAAATAACCTGCAAAAGGTTGATAAGCCATAGAAAACGAATCAGTCAATAAAATATTATTTAGCTACACAAGCATGTCTTTTAGATTTATTTACATTCTCTGGGATATAAATGTTTAGAAACTACCGTGGTCAAAAAGTGAGGGATCAGTTTTTATATTTATTATAATATAGAATTACTCCCCAAATTTACGATTTATTTTTGCTTATCAAATTCTGATTAGGTATGAATCCACCTCTTCATCCTCCCCAGCTATGGGTTAATCAGTAAGATTTGTATCACTGAACCATTATGTGAACCCCCTCTCCCACAAAGAAAATTATTGCAATCTAAAAAAAATATTTTCTGGCTTTAAATAACCTGCAAATGGTTGATAAGCCATAGAAAACAAATGAATCAATTAATGAAATACTGATTAGCTATACAGGCATGTCTTTTAGATTTATCTACATTCTCTGGAATATAAATATATAGAAACTAACGTGGCTACGAATTGAGGGATCATTTTTTGTATTGATTGTAATATAGAATTGACCCCCCAGTTTATATTCACATTAAATTTCTTGTCTGGTTATCAAATTCTGATTAGATATGAATCCACCTCTTCTAACCCCCAGCTATGGGTTAATTAGTAAGACTTGTATTACTAAATCATTACCTCTAAAAAGAAAAAAAAATGGCTTTAAATAACCTGCAAAGTGTTGATAAGCCATAGAAAATATTTCTACTTGATTAAATTAAAAAAAAAAAAGTTTTTGTCACTTCTCGTTATAGAGGAGTCAGTGGACTGTAAAATATCATTACTAATTTGGCATTTTTTCTCTGCAGGCTGTGAACCATGCAACTGTGATTTGACTGGATCGATCGACAGCAACTGTGACCAAAACCATGGTCAATGCACATGTAAAGATAACGTTGCAGGCAAGAGATGCGACCGTTGTGAATCTTACCATTACGGATTTTCAGAACAAGGCTGTAAACGTAAGTTTTGTTGTTACTGCTCTGAAATTTTTATTTATTTAGTTATAATGAGATGATGTCGTCTTTTTAAGAAAATATACACGCTATCTACTACTCAGATAATGTAACATATTTTTTATTTTTATTGTTGAGCTAGCTCGGATAGTGTTATGGGGTCCAGCCCTTTTTCATACAAGTGGACTCTACCAGTATATACTTGGACTGCTGCCGTTAAATATTCAGTCAGTCAGTCAGTAGAGAGATTGAGTTGGAGGTAGAGTAATAGTGTGAGGTAACTGCTTGTATGTTCAATTACAAAAAATTTTTACTCTAAGGAAGTCCTACTACAAGACTGGATTTTACCAGAGAAATATATATTATTATTGCTACTTTATGTTTCTGGATCTACTAATAGTTAATTTTGGGTCTAGGACTGGGAGAATATATAACATCAGTGTTTTCTTAGTCAAGAATTATCTAATGTTTTGGATGTGTGAAATAATGTAACATATTTTTTTTTTTATTGTTGAGCTAGCTCGGATAGTGTTATAAGGTCCACCCTTTTTTAAAAAGTGGACTCTACAGTATATACTTGGACTGCTGCCGTTAAATATTCAGTCAGTCAGAGTAGAGAGATTGAGGTATTACTACAATAATAGTGTGAGCTAACCACTTATATATCTCAGTTTTTTTTTCACGTAGACTCTCAGGAATTCCTACTTTGAGACTGGATTTACCATATATGTGTATATATATATATATATATATATATATATATATATTATATATATATATATTGAACAATAAAAAAAAAAATTAAAAAATTAAAATCATTAGACACACTGGGTTGTAGATTAATATTCTTTCGTTTTTTTTTATTATTATTCCATTTAGATTCCTCGACTAGTTTCGACCAAAATGGCCATCATCAGGAGAAGAAAAATATTTCTGCTTGCTGGTAGCAGTGAACTACAGAAATGAATGTCTTTTGTTGGAGAAAAATGAACTTTTTGTCTGTAGTTTTCATTTGTTTTTTTTTTTTTTTTATCTTTTTCACATGAATCTTTTAACATTCCTTGTGTTGGTCAAACAGTCTCTTTTAAGTTGTTATTTGAGATAAGAACTGGATAGATACATTTTATCCTGAATTCTCTGGTCAGTTTGACAGTTTTATTGGACCTGGTGAGGGGATGTGTCTCTGTTTAGTGTTTGTGTGTGTGTTATTTGGTTCTTAGGGAGTGAGTGAGTATGATATGTGTAAGCGTGTGTATTGCTGTAGGTGTGTGTTATCATTTGGCTCATTAGGGAGTGAGTGAGTATGGTTTGTGTATGTGTGTATAATCGTGTGGGTGAGTGTATAAGTGTGAGGCCTCCATCCCTCCGTAAGCATGTCTGTCTTGTGTGGGTGAGAAATGTGGGTAGGTTTTGATTTGTTGATTGTTACTATTATATATATTGTTAAATTTATGATTTAGCCCGGCTAGGTATTGTGTTTTTAGACGTTGTATCCACCTATTTTCATGGGACTCTAAAATCTTTCTAATGTTATCTGCTCTGAACTATATATATATAATTATTGCTACTAACCGCATTTCTGGATCTACTAATCGTATTACCAATTGTATTATTGTGTAAATACATTTATTTGTTATATTTCGTTCCTGCATTTGTCATTCATTGGAGACCGAATTTCATCTTGGAATCAACAACAGATAGTCATTTGTCTATTAGTCCAGCCATCATTGTCTAGAATCAAGGTCGGAGGGTCATTAAGCTGGAATTCTGTGTCATAACATAGCTGGTCAATATAAATGATTACTTGTGTGGCTAACCAGTCTTGCGTCATGGCTAGGTGTCCAGAGCAGTAGATCACTCACAAGTTTTTGTTTTGCTCATTGGCAGTGTCCTGTAAAGCATATTATTTTTCATGTAGGTTTGTAGAAATATCAGATGTCTGGTTTTCATATGTCCACATGTTGAAAGGACATCTGTTGATTGAGAAAAAAAAAAAAGACTGCTGTTATATATTTCTCCCAATCCCAGATCAACGCCGGCTATTGGCTAATACCTGCCCAGTATCATTCACATGCAAATAGGCAGCGCCACCTACTCTAAGTAGAAGGTCTTCTCTCAACAGCCCATTGTGGAAGGGGAAGCAACTCCTGGTGCTCACCAGGCTGACCCGACTCTGTTACACGCCATCTGATATTTCTACAAACCTACATGAAAAATAATATACTCTTCTCGTCCCTGCCTTTCTCCTCTTCTCGTCCCTGCCTTTCTCCTCTTCTAAAATGTGATTCTCCTCCTTCTCGTCCCTGCCTTTCTCCTCTTCTCGTCCCTGCCTTTACAGACTCTTCTATGTCCCTGCCTTTTCTCCTCTTCTAAATCCCTGCCTTTCTCCTCTTCTCTCGTCCCTGCCTTTCTCCTCTTCTCGTCCCTGCCTTTCTCCTCTTCTTTTCCCTGCCTTTCTCCTCTTCTTTTTGCCTTTCTCCTCTTCCTCGTCCCTTACCTTTCTCTCTTCTTCCCTGCCTTTCTCCTCTTCTTTGTCCCTGCCTTTCTCCTTCTCTTTAAACCTGCCTTTCTCCTCTTCTCGTCCCTGCCTTTCTCCTCTTCTTTTTTTCCCTGCCTTTCTCCTCTTCTAAATCCCTGCCTTTCTCCTCTCCTCTTCCCTGCCTTTCTCCTCTTCTCCTTTTCCTTTCTCCTCCTGCCTTCTCCTCTTCCTTTCAATTTGCCTTTCTCCTCTTCTCAGTCCCTGCCTTTCTCCTCTTCTTCATTTAGTCCCTGCCTTTCTCCTCTTCTCGTCCCTGCCTTTCTCATCTTCTATATAATCCCTTATCATTTTCCTGCCTTTCTCCTCTTCTGTGTCCCTGCAAGCTCCTTTCTCCTCTTCTCGTCCCTGCCTTTCTCCTCTTCTCGTCCCCTGCCTTTCTCCTCTTCTCGTCCCTGCCTTTTAAAGTTTCTCCTCCCTGCCTTTCTCCTCTTCTTTATCCCTGCCTTTCTCCTCTTCTATTCCCTCCTTTCTCCTCTTCCTCGTCCCTGCCTTTCTCCTCTTCTAAACCCTGCCTTTCTCCTCTTTCTCCCTCCCGTGCCTTTGTCTCCTCTTCTCCTTTCTTCACCCTGCCTTTCTCCTCTTCTCGTCCCTGCCTTTCTCCTCTTCTTCGTCCCTGCCTTTCTCCTCTTCTCATATCCCTGCCTTTCTCCTCTTCTCATCCCCTGCCTTTCTCCTCTTCTTATAAAAAGCTGCCTTTCTCCTCTTCTCTCCCCTGCCTTTCTCCTCTTCTATTTCCCCAGCCTTTCTCCTCTTCTGAACTTCCCTGCCTTTCTCCTCTTCTAGTCCCTGCCTTTCTCCTCTTCTAGGTCCCTAAATTTCTCCTCTTCTCCCTGCCTTTCTCCTCTTCTAGTCCCTGCCTTTCTCCTCTTCTTCAAACCTGCCTTTCTCCTCTTCTGCAATTTTTTTCTCCTCTTCGATCCTCCCTGCCTTTTCCTCTTCCTCCTTATTTCTTTTCCTTTCTTCTAAACCTGCCTTTCTCCTCTTCTCTAAAACTTTCCTTTTCTCCTTTCTCTAAAGAATCCCTGCCTTTCTCCTCTTCTAAAACCCCTGCCTTTCTCCTCTTCTGTCCCTGCCTTTTCCTCTTCTCGAGATGCCTCTTCCTCTTCTTCCCTTTTTTCTCCTCTTCTCGTCCCTGCCTTTCTCCTCTTCTATCCCCTGAAAACTCCTAGTTTTTGCCTTTCTCCTCTTCCTTTTCCTTTTCTCCTCTTCTCGTCCCTTTAGCACCCTCTTCTTTCCCTGCCTTTCTCCTTTTCTTCTCCCTCCCCTCTTTGCCCTTTCTCCTCTTCCACTCCCTGCCTTTTCTCTTCTTCAATCAAACGTCCCTGCCTTTCTCCTCTTCTACCTCCCTGCCTTTCTCCTCTTCTGCATCCCTAATTTCTCCTCTTCTCAAAATGACTTTCTCCTCTTCTCATCCCTGCCTTTCTCCTCTTCTCATCCCTGCCTTTCTCCTCTTCCCTTTTCTCCCTAAGCCTTTTTCTCCTCTTCTAAGTCCTGCCTTTCTCCTCTTAACCCTTTCTCCTCTTCTTTCCCTAATTTCTCATTTCTAAATTTGCCTTTCTCCTCTTCTACGTCCCTATTTTTCTCCTCTTCTAAATTTCCTCTTCTCATTGGCCCTGCCTTTCTCCTCTTCTCGTCCCTGCCTTTCTCCTCTTCTCGTCCCTGCCTTTCTCCTCTTCTCGTCCCCTTACTTTCTCCTCTTCTAACATTTCCCTGCCTTTCTCCTCTTCTAACAACACAAAAAATTCTCCTACTTCTATATTGCCTTTCTCCTCTTCCTCATCCCTGCCTTTCTCCTTTCTGTTTTCCTGCCTTTCTCCTTTTCTTTGTCCCTGCCTTTCTCCTCTTCCTCGTCCCTGCCTTTCTCCTCTTCTCATTTTCCCTGCCTTTCTCCTCTTCTCGTCCCTGCCTTTCTCCTCTTCTAATTTGCCCTGCCTTTTCTCCTCTTCAGGTCTGCCTTTTCTCTTCTTTTCCCTTCTTTCTCCTCAAATATCTCCCTACCTTTCTCCTAACGTCCCTGCCCTCTTCTATATGCTTTCTTCTTCCAAGATCCCTGCCTTTCTCTCTTCTTTGTCCCTGCCTTTCTCCTCTTCTCGTCCCTGCCTTTCTCCTCTTCTATGCATAAAGTTTTTTAATCTTTCTCCTGCCTTTTCTCCTCTTCTTCCCTGCCTTTCTCCTCTTCTTCTGCCTTTCTCCTCCCTGCCTTTCTCCTCTTCCTCCCCCTGCCTTTCTCCTCTTCTATCCCCTTTCTTTCTCTTCCAGCCTGCCTTTCTCCTCTTCTCGTCCCTGCCTTTCTCCTCTTCTCGTCCCTGCCTTTCTCCTCTTCTCGTCCCTGCCTTTCTCCTCTTCTCGTCCCTGCCTTTCTCCTCTTCTCGTCCCTGCCTTTCTCCTCTTCTCGTCCCTGCCTTTCTCCTCTTCTCGTCCCTGCCTTTCTCTTTTACATTTCTTTTTTCTGCTTTTATTTTTGTTCTGTTTTCCCCTCTCTTCTCTCTTTTCCTCTCCCTCTTTCCTCTTCCCCCTCCCCCTTCCTCTTTTACATTCTTTGTCTTTTTCTCTTCCCTTTTCTTCTCTTACTTCATTCCTCTTTTCCCTCTTTCCTTTTTCTACTTTTCCTCACTTTCCTTTCTTCCTTTCTTCATCTTTTCTCTCCCCTCCCTTTTTCTTCTTTCTTCCTTTTTTCACCAAAATGAAACGCCGCCTTTGATATGTCTTTCTTCTTTTTCCCTTGCAAAATGGAATAGTCTATTATTTATGAGGTAGTAGCAGGATATAAATGTATGCCCTAACTAAAAAAAAATTTAATTGAATGGTTACCTTAAAAACTACTTGAATTAAACTAACAAAAAATAAAAAAAAAAAAAAACTTATTGATGCCTGACTAGATTCTTGTTTGGTTTTGTAGGATGCCAATGTGATAAACTTGGATCTCTCGATTTGGAATGTGATGATCAAGGTGTCTGTAATTGCCGACCAACCACGACAGGCGAGAGATGTGACCGTTGTCAGGAAAACAAATTTAACATCTCAGCTGGGTGTGTCGGTAAGTGAAATCACAATTTTCTTCTTTTATGTACCTTCAGAACATGGGCTATCATGGCTCTCCACATCTTCCTGGCCTTTGTAGCTCTAAGTAAGTATTGGCTTTTTGCTATCTCTCCTAATCCCTGTTCTGCCAACCATTTAAATTAGCTCATTAGGTAAAGTCAGGATGTTTGTCTCCGTTCGTAGTTGCATAATTAAAAAAAAAAAAACTTGTAGTTCCAACAAATGATTTATTTTTATGGAATTATTTTGACTAGCAGTTGCCAGTCTTGGTCACTTCTATAATTTGAGTAAAACAAAACTATTTGAAAAAAAACCAGGGACTACACTGATCTGTCCTGGGTATTACGATAAACTACATCCGACAGCAAGACCTCTGATCAGGAGATTTTGAGAAGCGTGGAATCACCTCTCTAATTTCAGGTGTTCCCAAGTCCACCTAGCCTGGGGTGGTAGCACCTTGTTAGGCTGCCAGCCATGGGTAAATAAAACAACCCCACCAACTGGATTCAAAACACCATTAAATTGTAAAAATAGATTTTAATACCAACAATACATTTTTTTGAAAAAAATATATCATTTTCGGCAAAATCCTATTTAAAGTTAAATAAAAAAAAAATAACCAAACCACAATTAGGATTGTTGTCTCCGTTGGTAGTTGCATAATTAAAAGAAAAAATCTTGTAGTTCCAACAAATGATTTAGTTTTATGGAAACCAATTTGATGATGTTTACAACATAATAGCAATAATTTAAATAATGCCTGTCTGGATATTTCTGCTCCAAAGAAAAATATGATATGATAAAAAAAAAAAAAAAGTTGTGTGTGTGTGGGGGTTTAATTTATAGATTAAAAACAAAAATCTTTTTTTTTTTTTTTTTTTTTTTTTTTTTCTACGCTTCAACTTGCTATTATGTTGTAAACATCAACTCTGTTTTTCTTGATTTGAATTCTTACGCGTTTCTAGCTTCTTCGCACTGTTTTTACTCAAATTAAATGAGTGACCAAGACTGGCAACTGCTAGTTGAAATATTTCCATAAAAATAAATCATTTGTCAGAACTACAAGTTTTTTTTTCTTTTAATTAAGCTTATTAGGTAAGTTAATTGCTGCTCTCCTCTGTCCCTCTTGCCTTCAATAGATCCTGTGAGTGTCAAATTCTCCAAGCCCCTTTTCCTTATTGTGGGCCCGAAAAAGTTAATCTGTCATTTTCTGATTTGAAGTATAAGTGTACTTTCTATTTGCATTATTTACATTATTTGGACTGTTATCTTCATTGCCATATTCACAATGTTTCAGCTGTTGTATGCACCAACCTTCTTCAGATGATTGGAATTTTGGACCAAACTCTTTATTTCGTCTACTAGAGTAGATTGTTCTAGTTCCACATGCAATGCCTCTTCTGGATGACACAGTTATTTCCCTTTAACTCAATTCTCCAAATTTTGCTTCACCACTGCTGTGGCATGGTATTGAAACTCACAACTCTTTGGGTCTAGTCACTGGATCTGACCAATATTTTTAACCAGGGGGCTGTACAAAATTCCAATCACCTGATGAAAGCTGGAGCGTACAACAGCCGAAACCTTGTGAATATGGCAATGAAGATGAGGATAATAGTCCGAATAATGTAAATAATGCAAATAATCATAATACCTCATTTCAGAGACAGTGACTGAAACATTGTGAATATGGCAATGAAGATGCGAATAACAATGTAAATAATGCAAGTAATCATAATACCTCATCTTAGAGATATAGAGGCCGAAACATTTTGAATATGGCAATGAAGATGAGGATAACAGTCCGAATAATGTAAATAATGCAAATAATCATAATACCTCATCTTAGAGATTTAGAAGCCGAAATGTTGTGAATATGGCAATGAAGATGAGAATAACAGTTCGAATAATGTAAATAATCATAATCCCTCTTCTCAGAGATATAGACAGATATTCTAAAATATAATATCCTGTCAGTGTCAAATTTTCCAAGCCCTCTTTCCTCATTATGTGCCCTAAAACGTTCAACTGTCTCTTTCTGTTCATTGCTGCCATATTTGGTAACTTTCAGAAATTGCAAATTCTGAAGAATCTGTAAATTTTAAATAATGGAACCATGCCCAAGAATGAAATATTTTTTGCAGTTGGAATTGGTATGGAGTTAATATGTTGCTGTCCTATACTTAATTGATTGCTTTTATCTTCCTAGATTGCCCGCCTTGCTACAATCTTGTCCAGGATCAGGTGAATATTCATCGAAAGAACCTTCGTGAAATGAGGAAGTATATGGAAGTAATAAAAAAGAGTCCAACAGCATTTAATGACACTGAATTCTTGCAGAGAATGAAAGATGTCAGCTCTTCTGCCGATAGACTTGTACATGATGCTCGCCGCATCAACAGTAAGTTTTGTTACTTGAAAATATAGGGTGTTCCAATAACTTGAACCGATGTTAAATGTGTTAAAGTTATTGAAGCCTATTGTGAAAATGTATGTTCAAATTTATGCAAAGTTAATGTCATAATATAGGGTGTTCCAATAACTTGAACCAATGTTAAATGTGAATTAAGTTTAAGTGTCTAATGATTTTTTTTTCTTTCAGATTTAACAACTTAAGTCTTTGGCAATTTCAACCATGGAAAGATTAACAAACAAAAAAACATGTTAAAAGTTATCGAAACCTATCATGAAAATGAATGTTCAAATTTATAAATATGTGGCCAAATCATTCCACTAACAAAAAATGCACACCAAACAGTGACATTTTGTGGATGCAGTGGATTTTTAACAACATTCCTTGAATTTTCATCAACCCAAATGTGACATTTCTGCTTATTAACAAATCCATCAAGATGAAAATGGGCTTCATCAGTAAAGAGGATTTTTTGCGAAAAATCTTCATCGGCTTGTCTTTGTTTGCTCGTGCACCCAATTGATGAATGTACGGCACACCAAATGGTCAGCAGGTTTAAGTTCTCGTGTCAATTGAATTTTGTAAGCATGTAGAGACAAACCTTTTGTCAAAAATTGATGTAACGTTATGGAGAGGTTTAGTTGCACACAATAACAAATAGAAGTGTCTGGATTTTCAGCCACATTCTTGTGCACTACAGCAATGTTTTCAGCTGAACTGTGTAAATGAGCACAGAATGGTGTTTTCACATCTGCCACTGACCCAATTTATTTGAATTTATGAGCAATTTTTTCAATTGCACTCTTGAAACGTTGTTTGATAGTTAATCTTTCCATGGTTGAAATTACCAAAGACTTAAGTTGGTAAATCTAAAAGAAAAAAAATCATTAGACGTTTAAACTTAATTCACATTTAAAATCAGTTTAAGTTATTGGATTGGTTGGTTGTTTTATGGCATATCAACCTCAGTGGGTCATTTAATGCCAACAAAATTTTTGAAATAGATTCATAGT